AGGCGCGCCCCCGACCGGGACGCCTGCACCGGCTCCGGGGCTGCTTCTGCACCCAGGGCTCCCACATCGGCACCAGGACCCCCAGACCAGACCGGGCTCCTGCACTGGCCCCAGAGCTCGCCATCCAGCCGCAGCTCCCGCATCGGTACCAGGGCTCCCGCATCGGCACCAGGACCCCCAGACCGGACTGGGCTCCTGCACCGGCCCTGGGGCTCGCTGTCCAGCCAGGGGTCCCGCATTCGTACTGGGGCTCCCACATCATCATCAGGACCCCCAGACCAGACTGGGGCTCCTGCACCAGTACTGGGGCTCGCCATCCAGCCGGGAGTCCCGCATTGGTACTGGGGCTCCCACACCAGCCCCAGGACCCCCAGACCGGACTGGGTCTCCCTCACTGATATCGGGGCTCACTGTCCAGCCGGGATTCCCGCATCAGCACCAGGACCCCCAGACTGGACCAGGGTCCCACACCGGCACCAGGGCTCGCCCCCATTTCTCTCCCTGCTCTCTCCCAGACCGCTGCCCAAACCTAGCCAGCCTCGAGGGCTGGGACCAAAGCCTTGCTCCTCAGGACGCTCAGGAGATTCTGGGTCTGCCCCAAACTCTCGGCAAGTTTGCATTTCCCGTGGGGGAAACCACCCCTCGAGTCCCCGGAGCTGGTAGGAGACGGGGTGGCGGGAGCAGAGCCGCCCTCCAGGCAGTGCGGCGTGGGCATGGCCCCGGCAGGGGCCACGGGGGAGTCCCCTGGACCACAGGGCGGTCACTGCGGTCCCGTGAGCCGGGCACTCCTTGTGGAGGTGTGAGCGGTGGTGCGACACGAAACCAGCCTTCAGAAGGTGGGGAGGAAGTGAATGCAGCTGGGTTGGGCGGGAGGCGTCACCGCCAGGGCAGCAGGGAAAGGAGCATGGGTGCCAGGGCAGCCAGGGTTAGCCCAGATTTGGGTGGCGAGGGGAAGGGCTGGAGCTGGAGACGTGGACAGGCAGCGCCTTCCCCACTGTTAGACACGGATATCCGTTCCTCCGCAAAAAACCCGGGGCGCAGAGATGGGGGATGGCTGGGAACGGAGATGCAGACCGTCAGCCACAGCACAAGCCGGCCCCAAG